CATTTTTTTCTCAGGTAGAGTGGGAGGGAGAGAGAGGAACAGAGAGAGAGAGAGAAACATCGATGTGAAAGGAACACATTGAGTGGCTGCCACCCGCACAACCGACCAGGGCCGGGGACAAACTGCAACCGAGGTACATGCCCTTAGCGGGAACCGAACCGGGTCTCTCAGGACCTTAGGCTGACACTCTAACCGCTGAGCCAAACTGGCCAGGGCATAAAGATAATTTTTTAAAAGGAATTATCATTAGCATATCCAGTCATATAAAAGTGATAACGTTTATATAAAAATGAGTAAATATGGTTTATTTCAGGAATCTCAGGGGCTGTGTGAAACATTAAAATAATTTAAAGGAAAAAATATCATATTATTATCTCAGTAGATGCAGCATACCACCTAAGCCAAGCAAACAATCTTAGATGTGAATTAAAAGGGAGTCAAAAATCACCCATGTTAAATCAGAGCAAACAGAGCAAGATAAAGCATGATAACTATGAAAACTTGCAATGGCAAATGAACAAAACAAAGAAGACATAAAGAAATGGCATGCAGAAGATGAAGAACCCATAGCCTGCAGACAGAAGGAAATATCTCACATGTATTTCCAGTGATAAAACAAGAGTTCAAAGACAAGATATAACACAGCAAAATGAGATGAAAGGTAAATTGGAGACCTGAAGAAACAAATTGAGGACAAAAACAATATATTTTCAGAACAAATAAATTAGAAATAAGGAACAGAATAGAGATAGTTAACAATTAAATTACACAATAGAAAAGCTTCTGATAATCAGAATAAAGGCAGATGAAAAAGACAAAGAGAGTAAAGGCAGAACTAACTAACTAATAAATATGGAGCTAAAAATTTCTCTAGCATAATAATGAATGCCCCTGAAATAGAGCACTCAACAGATAGAGCAGGAAAGTATTCAAAGTTATGATGAAAACTAACTTAACCCAAAATAAAGAATTGACTCCTGCTTGCCCTGGCCAGTCTGGCTCAGCAGTTAGAGTGTCGGCCTGCAGACCTAAGGGTCTTGGGTTCAATTCCCGGTCAAGGGCACATACCTGGGTTGCAGGTTTGATCCCTGACCCCAATGGAGGTCCTGTGGGAGACGACCAATCAGTCTCTCTCTCACATTGATGTCTCTCTCTCTTTCTCTCCCTTTCTCCCTTCTACCCTATCTAAAAAGCAATGAAAATATCATTGGGTAAGGATTAAACAAAAAAAAGAAAAGAAAGTGTCCTGCTAAATGGGGAGGGGGGGCAAGGGGATGGGGAGTATAGAATAATATGGGATTCTATATTATCAAATTTTAAGCAGGAAGTCAATCAATGCTATCTAAATTGAAAAAAGAAAATTTTCTTCTATTTAGTGCTTTTCTTAATGTCTTTTCTTAGCCTTAGGGGGTTCTTTTCCAGAATTTCTCTTTTGGTGAAGCAGTATTTAGCATATTCTTCCGTTCATCTTATTTGTTTTTTATTAAATTTCAATAAAATTATAATTTAATGCTTGTATTTTAAAAATAGTATTCTGTTTTTGTGAAGGTATTGCTTATACTCTCTATAGGCAAAAGGAAAGAAAAGTTGGTAGGTAGGTAGTAGTAAGCTAGGTGACTGGAGTGATGTCAACTTAGTAATGATAGTTTCTGGCTGATGGAAATTGAGATATATATATCAGAGTCTAGTCAGGAGACAGAAATCAGTTGTTTTTAATAGAATATATTTAATATAAACTATTATTAAGAGAAACTAAACAAATGGTGAAATAGGATATGAAAGTTTTCTCAGAGATGTCAACTGGGGGAAGCAGCTAACATTCCTAGGGCTGTGGGACAAAGAAAAGAGGTTGGAATTACTAAAATACATAAACACGCAGGAGGGGTGTTATGGAGCTTTAACTCAGATCTCTGAGAAGGGGGTGCTGCTTGGGCTGGTATTAATGCCTCTGGCATGGAGAATGGTCCTTTGGGTCCGGGACTCAGACACCTGGTGCTGGTGTCTCTGAGGAGGACACAACAAGGCTATTTGGGATAATAAGTGAGATAGAAACAATATTATTTTTGTTCTGGATGGCTAGCCAGAACAGGCAACACCTTTCCAGTTACTAGAATTCTTCCTCTGGGTCTCTCAATAGGGCTTTTAAAAAGTTTTGATTCATACTGCTCTTATGCATTTTTAAAATTTATTGCTAGCTATTTTAGTTTAGTTTTATTCCTGTAAATGAAAACGTTTCTTCTACTTTATCTTTTAACTGGTTGTAGTTTGTATAGAAGAAAGCTCTTGATGTTTAATTATTAATTTAACATCCAGAAACCTTACTAAATTTTGTTATTGACTATCATGGGTTTTCACCTATGCTATTTAAACTGTTCTAGATGGCTCTTACATAAATCTGCTTTGTATTTTGTTATGTGGGAAACTATCTCCAATATACTGATTTCTCTTTATTGACAAGTTCCATTTATTTTCCTGAACTACTATTGTAAAGATAGCATTACTGGTCTCCCTACTTCTACCCATATCTCATCACTATTTTATTCTCAACACAGCTGCAAATGTAATCTTTTTTTTTTTTAATATTTTTTTCTTTATTGATTTTAGAGAGAGGAAGGGAGAGAGAGAGAGATAGAAACATTAATGAGAGAGAGCATCGATTGGCTACCTCCTCCATGCCCCTCACTGGGGATTTGGCCCATAACTTGGGCCTGAACTGGCGACCTCTTGGTGCATGGCTCGATGCTCAACCACTGAGCCACACCAGCTGGGCACAAATGTAATCTTTCTACCAACATAAATCATGTCACTTCCCTGCTCAGAATTTTTTCATGATCATCCATTGTTCTTCAAATACAATTCAGATATCTTACCATAAACTACAAGGTTCTAGGTCTTAGTCTGATTGGGCTGCCATAACAAAATACTATAGACTGGTGGCCTAAACAACAGAAATTTATTGTCTTGCAGTCTGGAAGCTGGGAAGTCTAAGATTAAAGTGACAGCCAGTTCAGTTCCTGGTGAGAGCTCTCTTCTTAGCTTGTAGATGCCCGCCTTCTTACTGTATCCTCACATGGCTTTTTCTTGATGTGTGTACTTGGGGAGAGATTTTGCTTTCTCTTTCTCTTCTAATAAGGCTATCAATCCCTTCATAAGAGCCACACCCTGGTGACATGTAGCCCTAAGTAACTTCCAAAGGTCCCACCTCCAAAAACCACCACATTGGGTTAGTGTTTCAACATATGAATTGGGAGGTAGGGGGGACTCATTCAGTCCATAACAATCTAAAATGATCTGGTCTCACCCAGACAGGTGGCTCAGTGGTTGAGTGTTGACCCATGAACCAAGAGGTCGCCGTTTGACTCCCGGTCAGGGCACATGCCCAGGTTGTGGGCCCAATCTCCAGTGGGGGGCATGCATGAGGTGGAAAATCAGTGTTCTCTCTCATTGATGTTACCATCTCTCTCTCCCTCTCCCTTCTCTCTCTAAAATCAATAAAGAACAATTAAAAAATTTTTTAAATGATCTGGTTTCTGCCTATCTCTTCAAGAGGCACTCTCCATAGTCCCTTAAAGCACTGACTTCTGGCTCAGGCCGATTTGGCTCAGCATTTAGAGCATCAGCCCTTGGACCAGAGAGTCACGGGTTCGAGTCTGGTCAAGGGCATGTACCTCAGTTGCAGTTCAATCCCCAGCCATGGTTGGGGTCGTGTGGGAGGCAACTAGTCAATGTGTCTCTCTCACATCGATGTTTCTCTCCCTCCCTCACAATCTATCTGAAAATCAATGGAAAAATATCCTCGGGTGAGGATTAAAAACAAAAAAACACTGACCTCTGGTAAGTTTCTCAAACATATCAAGCTCCTTTCTACTTAAGAATTGTTACACATGCTGTTCTGTGTGCCTAGAGACTCTTCCTTCTGCTCTTCACATGAAAAATTTGTTATCCTTTAGGTCTCAGTTTCGATAGCCCTTTCCCAGAATCCATATATATGAGCAGGTCTTCTCTATTCTCTGTCAATTCATTGGATTACATATTTATTAATGTTATAAATGTATACTTGTGTGTATCTGGATGTGTGTATACATAATTTTATTCTTCTATCTACTTTTGTATGTGCTCAGAATTCTCCATAATACATTTTTTAATGGAAAAAAATTCGATTGGTACATTTTTTTAAATCTCTTAAATTTATAGTCAAGGTTTTGTCTTTGTTTGATCATATACTGTTGAGAAAATAATACTCTTAAGAATTAAAAGGCACATATCTTATACCATAATTACAGTTTTAGAAATGATTTGTATTTAAAGACATACATGGATTTTCATTCCAGAACAGCAAAGATTTGATAACAACCTAGATATCAATGGGGGAGGGACTAGTTTAATGAATTATGGTGTAACTGTACTATTAAATACTACTCAGGTATTAGAGAATGAAGGAATTCTATATGTAATGACATGGAGTGATTTCCAAGTAAGAAAGCAAGGTACAGACCAATCATTGTGTATATTATGTATACCATCATGTGTGTCCATATGTAACCAAAAAGCTAACAGGAGTGGGCAAAAGTAGGTTTACAATTTATATGGAAAAAGACCTTCAAGTTATAATTATTACAGTAGATTTAGTAACTCAAAAGAATGTCACAGTGGCACAGTAAACTGACTTTTGCTTACCCCTGTATTACATTGGAATTTATCAAGATTATCTTTGGAAAGATAGACTAGAATCTAGTAACAGTGGTTGCCTCAGGGACAGGAAACCAAATGACTGAAGGTTTAAAGGCAGGATGGAGACTTTCTTTTTCACTGAAAGAATAATAGGCTGGAATTATGGGGAAGACATTTTGAAGAACAAAGATAATAAAAATTTAGTATTGCTTTTATCTAACAAAAAAAGAAACTATATAAATAGGTAATTATCATAGATATTACTATGAGATATATAAAATGATTTCACTTACAAGTGAAAATATTATCTGGATTTTATGTGTTTTTAGGTGGTGATAGTGGACTGGATGGGTTAGGAGGACCAGGTGTACAACTTGGAAGCCCAGATAAGAAAAAAAGGAAGACAAATACACAGGTAAATTGACATTTTCTTATAATAGTCGTTTTTCTTCACTGATATGATCAGGCTGTTGAGGTAAATTTAAATTTGGTCATGGGGCCCTGGCTGGGTGGCTCAGTTGGTTAGAGCATTGTCCCAATATGCCAAGGTTGTGGGTTTGATCCATGGTCAGGGTACATACGTAAAGCAACCATGAATGGGTGGAATAGCAAATCAGTGTTTCTCTCTCTGTCCTTCTCAAATTTTTTTTTAAAGTTTAAAAAAGAACTAAATAAATTTGGTCATGAGTTTTGTTTCCTGTCCTCATTCCAAACCTAATAGTGAATTCTGTAATGATTGTATTTTTTCACTCTGCCACTAGTGGCCATTGCTGGACTGTAGGCCTAGAGGGATATTGCAAGAGGAAGCTGTAGGCAGACAAACTAAAATGTTTATTCTTAAATCTAATGTAAAAGATACAGATGCCTGTAGTTCTATTAAAAGACTTAAAATATATATGGACACAAGTTTAACTTGAAGTAATAATGTTCAACTATTATAATAATTCAGTAGCATGTGTGTACTATGAAGCAGTTGTGGTGGAGGGTATCTTTTGTGTATAACCTGTGGTTGTAACAAGCAGTTATAAATACAGGCTTTCATGGTTTTATTCTCTATAAATTTGAAGCACTCTTGCCCTGGCCGGTTTGGCTCAGCGGTTAGAGCTTCGGCCTGCGGTCCGGAGAGACCCGGGTTCGGTTCCCGCTAAGGGCACGTACTTCGGTTGCAGTTTGTCCCCGGCCCTGGTTGGTCGTGCGGGTGGCAGCCACTCGATGTGTCCCTTCACATCGATGTTTCTCTCTCTCTCTCTCTCCCTTCCTCTCTCTCCCTCCCACTCTATCTGTACAAAAAATGGAAAGATATCCTCGGGTGAGGATAAAAAAAAATAAATAAATAAAAATAAATAAATAAAATAAATTTGAAGCACTCTTTTTATGATAAAGACTGCGAATAAGTATGATGTGTGTACAGATGATCTCTTTTCTATTTTGGCCACCATCTGTTAACCTTGCAGTGTGACTGAAACTGGCATTTATTTTTCCATTCTAAGGCCTAGAGCTTAGCACTTTGGGAATAAGTTAATAACTATTCCCTGAAGTTAAGCTAGAAAAATATTTAGATCCTGTTTACGATTTGATTTTATGGTTTTTTAGGGGTATAAAAGGTATTTTTCGTTGAATTTTAAGTGAAAGATTCTAGAGTTATAGGCAAGCATGTTAAATGAAAATTATGGTAATGAATCTTCTTTTGAAGGTTAAATACTTTTGGAGTTTGAAGGAACAATGGATTTGTGCTCAGAAAAGCTTAACTTACTTCCTTTTCTAAATGAAAGAACCCTACACATTTTATCATTAAATATAATTATAAATAAATATTATTTGGAATTGAAAGGTCAAGTGAAGAATTAAATTTTTATAATACTGTTAGAGAAACTTGACTAAAACTAAGTTCATAAGTGTCAAGATTTTATAACAGGACAATTTTAATGACTTCTTTGATCAAAAACATGTATTTTACTTTACATTCTCATTTCAGGGGCCTTCTTTTCCTCCATTGTCTGAGTATGCTCCACCACCGAATCCAAACTCTGACCATCTAGTGGCTGCTAATCCATTTGATGACAACTATAATACTATTTCCTATAAACCACTACCTTCCTCAAATCCGTATCTTGGCCCTGGTTATCCTGGTTTTGGAGGCTATAGCACATTCAGAATGCCACCTCACGTTCCTCCAAGAATGTCTTCCCCATACTGTGCTCCTTACTCACTCAGGAATCAACCACACCCATTTCCACAGAATCCTCTGGGCATGGGTTTTAATCGACCTCATGCTTTTAACTTTGGGCCACATGATAATTCAAGTTTTGGAAATCCATCTTATAATAATGCACTAAGTCAGAATGTTAATATGTCTAATCAACATTTTAGACAAAATCCTGCTGAAAACTTCAGTCAGATTCCTCCACAGAATGCTGGCCAGGTATCTAATCCTGACTTGGCATCTAACTTTGTCCCTGGAAATAATTCAAATTTTACTTCTCCGTTAGAATCTAATCATTCTTTTGTTCCTCCCCCAAACACTTTTGGTCAAGCAAAAGCACCACCCCCAAAACAAGACTTTAATCAAGGAGCAACCAAAAACACTAATCAAAATTCCTCTGCTCATCCACCTCACTTAAATATGGATGACACAGTGAATCAGAGTAATATTGAATTAAAAAATGTTAATCGAAACAATGCAGTAAATCAAGAGAATAGCCGTTCGAGTAGCACTGAAGCTACAAACAACAGTCATGCTAATGGGACACAGAATAAGCCACGACAACCTAGAGGTGCAGCAGACACATGCACCACTGAAAAAAGCAATAAATCTTCTCTCCACCCAAGCCGTCATGGCCATTCTTCTTCCGACCCAGTGTATCCTTGTGGAATTTGTACAAATGAAGTGAATGATGATCAGGATGCCATCTTATGTGAAGCTTCTTGTCAGAAATGGTTTCATCGGATCTGCACTGGAATGACTGAAACAGCTTATGGCCTGCTAACTGCAGAAGCATCAGCAGTATGGGGCTGTGATACCTGTATGGCTGACAAAGATGTCCAGTTAATGCGCACTAGAGAAACTTTTGGTCCACCTGCAGTGGGCAGTGATGCTTAATCACAGGCATTAACTAAAGTGTTTTTGTTTTTTTTCCTGTGTATTACAGAGGTTCAGTGACACAGGATTTTAATGTTTTACAATATTTTTATTAATGCACACATGAAAGAGATTATTTACCTTTTAGTTTTTATTACTATTCCATTTTATTACTAGTGCAAATTTTGTCTTAGTTTGCTACCTGGAATAATGTATATGAGGGTGCTTTAGAAAGTACTTTACAAATAAATGTTAGTTATTGTTAATCATAAACATAAAAGCCTCTTAAAGCTTCAAAATAATATATAGCATATGTAGAAAAGTTTGACTTTTAAAAATTAGAACCATTGAAAAGTATATATTTCAGTGCTGAACTTTGGTGATATCACATTAAACATTTAGTTCAAAATTTTTTTCAAAGATCCATTTAACGTGTTTTCAGAAAAAAAAAATGTGTAGCTATAACATGGAAGAAAGCATACATTTTAATTGATGTTTTTAAAAATAATAGTGTATGACATCAGATTCCTCCCTAACTAGGGTCCTTGAAATTAGTGACTTTCATATTTCAAGTCAATCTCTTCAAGATATCTGTTTGTACAGATATGAGACAGATGTTATCGTATAGTAGATGCTCAGTAAGTATTTGTTGATTAACTTGTGGATTGTACCACATGAAATTGCTAATATTAGATTAGTTGAAATTTGACTTCAGTTACTAGAGTTGATATAAAGTATGTTTCTAGTTGTGCTACTTAGAATTGTAATAGTATAATGCTTTTTCTCTCTTCTGTTTTCTCTGATTATTGGGTTGTTTTGTTATTTTTTTTCCAGAGAAATAATAATATAGTACCCTCAGAAGAACTGAATATTTTTTAAAACATGATTTCAAACTGGGACATATTGCAAATGGGATAGGTAGAAACATGAATTTGGCTTTAGAGCACTCTGCTGGTGAAAGAACTACACATTGGTAGTTTGAAAAATCTTGATCTATGGATCTGAATTCAAAAATGAGCCTCAAGGGAGATCAGAATCCATTTTAAGCAAAGATCAATTAAGAGCCAAGGTGAAAGCTAATTTATAAACAACAATTCAAGGCTTGCAGCAGACAATTTTTGCTATAACTGGGGAAAGTGTAAAAATGGACCTGAGAGTATTCTCCTGGAAGATGGTAAAGAATGGAGGCAGTTGGAGGTGTACTCATTAAGATTCAAAACAGCAGAAACCCAGTTAGGGAGTGGATCATAACCTGTGGCCACACACACACACACACACACACTGTATGGCAGTTGATAGCAGTTTAAACAATGGTTGGATGTTGGTGAAGGTTCCAAACTTGCACCATCATCATTGCAACCAAAAAAATTCGGAAGCCCATATGGTGATCTGTGAAAGGGATAATTAATTACTAGTCTTTAAACCCTGGTGAAACAACAGCAGCAGCATATTGCCAAGAGATTAAAATGAGACCTGAAAAATCTGATTTAAAAAACATCCTGTGGTTAATAAACACGAACCCACACTTTTACATGACAGCACTTGACCTCCCATGTCACAAGCTGCTAAAGCAAAGTTAATTGAATTGGGCTATTTTGTCATGTCCATCTTTGTCACCAGGCCTTTATTCAATGAACTACAATCTTTTTCTAAGACATAACATATTCTCCAGTTGAGAAGGAGTAATTGGAGAATTTGAACAATTTAAACAGCCTAACAAATGGTGAATTTTATAAAAACAGAATATTTAATATCCTATTATATTAGAAGAAAATTATTAATGCTCATAGTACATATTTTGACTGAATAAAACATTTTTATACAGTGTTTTAATTTGACCTATAAAAATAGCAGTTTCATATGGCAAAAGGTAATATAAGTTTTTCTCCATTTACCTGTGACTAGAGGTGAGTACAAAATATTTTCAATAGTTCTAAAATAATATACCTTTACAATTTTAGGAAATGAAACAATACAGACTCTAATAATAGGTACTCGTTTGTGTGAAAACTTTACCAGTTGAAGCAGGTTGAAATACAGTATTTCTGGCTGACTCTGACATTTGACGTGTTCAGTAGTGTACTTGAAGATCCCAGTGTGCTTACACTGTAGCTTTTGTTAGAGATACAAACTTTTCTAAATATTTAAGGACCTGGATATGTTCTTGAAATCCTAGTGAGTGCTGATTTTTAAGACATGATGCACTACATGCCAAATGTCCAGCCCTAGCGTCAGATCATGATTTTTTCATGACTGAATGCAGTTAGATATATACTGAGTAGAACCTTCAATGTCTGCAGGAATTGACACTTTACATGGTAATACTTGAGTTGTGCTCATTGCTAAAATTGTGCAGTCTTAACCCTCTGTTGCCTATAGTTTCAATAGTTACTTGTTTTGTGAAAATGAAATCACTTCTCCCAAGCTAGTCAAAAGATACTTGATTTGTAATGAAATTCTTTTATTTTCCATTTTCATGTAGTTGTTTTTAAACACTTGAAAACAAATGAATTTTTCTTCAGGTATTTAGGTCTTCAGAGTACCTTATTTAAATAGGAATCTGTAAGTATTCAAAAGAAAAACCTGTAGTTGATTCTGACAATGAATCATAAGCAAACTGTAATCATAGCTGATGAATGTTTTCATGTATTTGAATTAAATTTCTGACGAGTTCTACCTTTGTCTCTATATAACACTAAGTAAAAATTAGCGAGATCCTTTTTGCTAGAAAAACTGATGAACTAATTTGCCCAGTTTGACCCAAAGAAGGCTGTTACACAAATTGGTGTGGCTTTCTTAGGACAAGTGATGAGCTGCCTGAAACATTATATGTTCAGTGATGGAAAGAAATGCACACAGGTGGGATAATCTTCCAGTAACATTGTAATTCTTTTCTTTCACTGAAAGGCCTCATCATACACACAAGCATGTGTGTGGGTAGGAAATCTTGGAGTTTCTCCTACGTTATGGTTTTGCCAAAGTTCAACCTGGCTAACTATCTGTAGTTAGGCTTTCTCCCCTAAGGCTAGATAACTGATGGAAAGTTCTAAAGCATCAGTTCCTTTCTCAGAACTTGCTTTGTTAATTTCACTAGCCTTCCTGATGCACTTGCTTCTAGATGCTACTGGACTAATACTGAAACAGCTTAGTTTGTAAAGGAAAAATGATTCTTCAGGTACAGTGCTTAGAATTTAGATTTGTGATCCATGTTTTCCTTTTGTGTGAAATACTTTAGAGTACTCCTATTATAATTCTTGTAATCCAAATTAGAGTATGTACATAAAACAAGATTTTCTTGTACTAGTGCTTATTCGTAGATTAACACAATATAAAGAAATCCAATTTTTTGGTGTTTTTTGTTTTGTTTTGTTGTATTTTAGACCCCCAACTCTGACTAGTGTTAGGGGGGGAAAGAAACTCAGTAGTATGGGTCATCATGAAATCTGCCAACTTTAATCATTCAAATAGGTATCAGGAGTCTTCATCTAGTATTCTTTGAAACGTGTTCATCTTGAACAAATTAAGAGTGCTAGTGCTTATTGTCCAATGTACTATATGATTGTATTTAATCGTAAAATATATATATATATATATAAGCAATGAAAAGGGAGCTCTAAATAGTTCTTGGGTTTTTTGCAGTGCATAGAGGTTTCATATGCATGAACGTTTATGCTATTTTAGATTTTTTTAAAATAAAAATTGAAAGTATTGAGGCTCCCAAAGTTTATTTGTAAACAGTGGTTTGGAACTCTGTTTAAGATAATTAGATTCTTAGGGAAGCTCATAAAGACTTATTTAAAGCATGATGTAGTTAACCAGTAGTATCATGCTGCGTGGCCAGCTTCTTTAGGGAACCACTCAGTGTAGGTGGGAGAAAGAAGCAGAGGTCTTTCCTTTTTCCTGGTGTGATTCAGGAAGGCTAAGTTCTTTGGTGTGAGTGTTTCCCAGTTGCCCTCTTAATCATCCTAAACTCTCTGGTGGGATGCTATATAAGCCAACTTGCCTTTTCCTTGCCTGGATTCTCTGTGCTTCAGAATTTCATATCTTTCCTCTCATTTCTTTGTGTGGCTGTGATTGACTAGATTTTAAGAGAAAAGTTTTTTCTACCAAGATGTGCAAATGAAGATCGTGAAGAAAGTGGGATTAAATTTCTTTTTTTAAAGGGTGTCTATTCAGAATGAATCTTTAATATCTAAGATTTCAAGAGAAAATGACCACATTTTGGGTACCATAGGAAGCACTATTTTATTGAGAGTACTTCATAATTTCCTTTAGATTGTTGGGATTTTAAAAGTTTCTTTTTCTCTACTTCTCTGAATGCAGAGGTTTTCTCATTTGCAAATGCTAGCAACTTTACCTTTTTCTGTATTCCATTTGGCCAACAGAGCAGTATGGAAGCCACTCCTGCATCTTTCCAGCTCCTAGTACAGTGATGGAAGTTCAGAGGCACTCCTGGAGTGAGGAGGCTAGGGATGGCATTAACACCTCCCAAGACAAGTGGTCTAGGGGACATGAAGGGAAGAAAGTGGCTTAATGTAAGCCAAACATTAATACATCAAAGACTGCCTGTATTTCATTGAAAACTTTTCATGAAACCCAATGGATAAGCTTCATCTTTGTCATATTTTGTCAAATTACTTGCAATTATATTAAAATGTATTCTAAATACCTGTACTTTCTCGTTCTGTAGATGATGTAGATGATGTTGCTTGTTAGTTAAAATATCTTATAAAAGAAAGTCCTGCTTCTTATCATGATGTATGTGACTTAAATGACTGTTTCATATTAAAACTATTTCTTCCTTATGTACTGTTTACATATACCTCTTTTTGGGATATTAGTTCAGTACTTTTATACAAATCTGAGTGTGTTCCACATTGGTGACATGTATTTTTGCAGTAATTTTTTTGTTTTGTTCATAGAGCATGTCTAAAGTAACACATGCACTAGTGCTGTGGTCTGTGGCAAAATTACTGTAATTCAAATTGGAAAATAAAATGTTTCCAGACTTTGTCCAACATTTTTTCCTATGGCAAAGGAAATTACTATGTAATACTAATTGTTTCTTATGCTGGTATGTTTAAGCTACTCTATGAAGTATGTAAAACATCAATA